ATAGGGATGAGAGGCTAATTATTTTTCTGGACAAAATTCTCCAAATTTATGAAAAAAATCTGCAAATTATACTTGCCACGCTTTCTCTTCTCTTTCCATAGGAAATTTTACAGGTTTCTGATATTACACAAAATTCCTTTAGAATGAAACTATAGATATGCTGGTTTCTCTCTTATATATCTGTGCATCAGGAGGTGTACATATAATGGGTTTTAAGTATGTAAGCCTTTCTAGATACAACAGCACATACTTGATGGACAAGTCTATAGATTCACACCTCTGTTGTATGTAACAGCAGTCCATGGAGCAATTTTCACAGCTGTCTCATAGGTGTTTACTTATATGCTCTAACCGTATCCTTGTCCTTGCCAACTGAATTTACTATTGGTTATAGAGGCATGAAAAACACATCAACCAGACCTCAAGGCAAGATGGCAAGAAGGAAACTATGAAAATTTTGTGACTACCATCCACAGGACTACCCAAAGGAAAAGCAAAAGAGTCTCTCAGAAAGCCTTTTAATGTAGAAGTGAAGTTAAATATAATGCTCTAGATATCCTTAATAATGATGTTGGTCACAACAGCAAACACACTAAATTAGATTCTTCTCTTATTTAACCAGTTGAAAATTCTTTGACTGAAGTGGCACAGATGTAACTGAGGAAAAATTTTTGTTGAATAACTGCTGAAGAATGCATGCTGCCATAAAATATAGTCATGTATAAATAATTCCTAGAACATGGTAACATACTGTGTTACAAATGAGTGGGAAATGACCTGGTGTACAGTGATTATGGAAAAACACTTGTCTTTGAATGAAAGTGATAACAATTTATTGTCCCCTGGGTACTCACATACAATTAAATTAGACAGAAAAGAGCAGCATTTTAAATTGAAATATAATATTTGAATAGAAGTTTCTTATGAACACATCTGTTGTCATAAATGCAGCCTTTCTAACTGTTCGATACAAGGATTCTGCAAATATTGATCTATGCCTAATAGCTGCTGTAATATATTTTTATTTTGTTTCTTTAATTGTCCATAAGATATATTTTATACTCTCTTCACTATTTTTTTAATCTTTGTGTTCACAGGAGGCGTGCTTCCTAAGGCCTGAACTCACAGGGACAGGTCCTGAGGCTAGAGTTTGCAGAGCCAGCACAAAGAAGGTGTAGGATGAAAATGCATCAGGCCTGTTCTATATGCACCACACAGCTGAGAAATTCTTCATCATTCTCATTGCAGTTGTTTCGATGCTCTATTTTTGCTTAGTAATGCCCTGCATTACTTGCATGCTTGCATGACATCTTTTCTGCTTGGTTTAAATTTCTTTTACCATGATCAACCTCTGACAAATCCATAGTGAAATCACTGGGGAGTTTTCCTCAGTACTGCTTTATGAAGTCCTTTGTGTTCTCCTCATTTTAATTGTCTCTGAGTTTAAATTATAGCCCCTTCCTTAGGATGGAAGGACATATCATGTGTCCCTCTGCTTTCATACTTCTGTTTTCATACACTGCACAACCTATAGCTCCAGGGCTTGATCCCATGAGCTCATTCATGCCTTGGGCAGAACCAGTTTCATTCTAACCAGCGTCTAGTTTAGTGAGCGAATCTGACAAGGCTCCCTACAGTACCAGTGAAGAGGGGTTATTTCCTCCAGAGCAACTGAGATAGACTACTGGTCTGATTTTTCTCAGGAGAAGCTCGTTTTCAACTGCAAGAGAATCCTTACTGTATTTTTCTTGAGTTGCTTTGTTATATACTTAGAGTTACCATAGTACTTACCCATAGTCTAAATATACTGAATCCCCAAAGATGTAAAATCACTGAGAGAGTAATGAAAATGCAGGTTTGATAGCTTCGTTTCCCTAATAACATGCTAAAATATCTTTAAATAAACACTCAGAGAAAATGTGCTCTAAAGCATATTTATCCAGAAGGCTGTATGGTCAGAAGGTCTCCTTTAAGCCTTTCCCATTTATTCAGGTGGTTTATTTCTTAGAAGCAGTGGGATAACACAGAAGAATTAATAGGAGGGGGGGAAAATGTGGTATTTTTATTCCACTGCTACAACCAAAGAGAAAAAAATAAAAGATGTTGAGAAAGTGACTGGGCAAACAGAGATTATATGGTGAAGATTCAGGATATAGGGAGCAAGGAAATAGAGCAGATGGGAGCAAGAGATTAAACAATGAACAGAATCAGAGAGTATGACTAACTTGTTTCATAACAACAAAACACTTATTATAGCTCAATTGCATATTAGTTTGGTTAACATGCCTTATCCTTGTTGGCGATTTCTGCATTTATCCTAAAGTTGTTATTGACCACAGCTAAGGAAAATATCACTTTCTGAAAATACAGTCCACATGTTGGGAAAACTTAACCCAAAATTTAAAATTTAAGACCCTTGCTATTGATAAAAAAATGGGCTCAGAAACTACACTACAGTGAGTGAAACAGAAATAGCTGTAAGTAAAAAAAAGCACAGATGGCTGTGCTGGAGATGGGGATGTCTGCAAGATTCCCCTCACAGGGTTTTCTCTGGATCAGTCTGTCACAAGGATGGGCAAGTTGTATTTTTTCTCTACCACGCTTTTCTCAGCATCTCCACCCTTTCCCAGGAATAAATGACCAAGCTTTTGATCAATAGATCTACAGGTTTAGCATGTCTGTCATCAATCACACACCTTTTGTACTCAGTTGGTTCATTGTGAATGTCCTTATCTCAATGGCAAGGAATTTGTTGGAGTTAGACAGTTAGGATGCGCCTTTGCTATAATCTTTTTTTGGAGTGGTAAGAAGGAACATTATCAGTACAAGTATGTACATGCAAAACTGCTGTGAGTTTAGGTTTAAGCCCAAATACAAGGAATGAAACATAAGAATTTCCAAATTGTTTAAAAGGCAATTTAAGATTGAAGAAAAAAGAAACAGTTTTTACAATGCTTGAGTTCTTATTAGAAATACAGATTCTCTGTATCCCTGTGATTCTTGTTATGCCAGAAAAAGAAACAGTCAGAATCACTTGGGGGTAACTGGGGAGTCTACCTTTGAGTGTGGGTGTCCCCTTTGACATCACAATTCAGCTCCTATGTCTCTTTCTACCCCATGACACTGAGAAAGAGCTCACACCAGGGCCATGGATTGCCAGGTAATAGATAGGACCAGAGAGAATAGCAGTCCTTTGGGACCCTTACATATGATTTGCTCAAAAGTCTGCCATCACAAACAAAGGTAAAGCTAATCAACTGTATTTGACCCTGGAACGGTCTAGTAGAGGACAAAGATAACCTGATTCCACATGTTGATTTTTTGCATTGTTTTTTATTTATTTCTGTGTAGACCTATTATTTTTCTCTTTGTCACAATTAATTATTCTTTGCTTTTCTATTGATTACTAGTGTGGCTAGATGAATGGACTTTCTTTTATTGAAAGTCAGATTACTAGTATGTTTAAATCTTCAATATGAAAATAGAGCTGATGGGATAAAATCTCTTCCCAGGAACTTTTAAACTGTTGAATACAAATAAAACTCTAGGCAAAGTATCTTTAAATGAGCAGTGGTGGCTTTTGTATCTTTAAGAAAAGCATTTTCAGTTCAATATCTTGCTTTATAGCTTTTTGGGAAGCTCTCCTGACAATTTTCCTATTTAAGGTAAGTACACACAGAGAAATTTGCTACAGGACACATTTCTGTGCTGTTATAAAGTGAATCCCTATTTGTAAAATAAGTATCTGTAAGTTCTAGCAGTGATCTTCTAAGTCATTGTGACTCTGAGTGCAGCATTCACTCTTCTAGACTGTTTCTTAACCTGCAAAAACCTAAGGTACAGAGAGATGTAAAAGTTAAACATAGATAAGTGCAAAAAGATAAGTGCGAAAGATAAGCATAGACCCAAATCCACAAAACTGATTTCTACTTGTCTAAGCATTTTTAACCAGGTGAGAGAAACCCCAGTTAATGACCATGAAGGGTCAGAATTAAAGCTTCTGCAGAAACTTCTGTTCTCAGTTTCCTTTGGGTTTAAGTTTTCCTCATCTGGTTGCAGTGAGGCTGGAAAGAACAGCAGGATATAAGGCTATTTTTGTCCCTATCAACGTGCACGGTGGTGATGTGCATATATGGAACAGAGAAGATTTGGGGTAATTTGAGGGGCAGAACTGAGAATAATAGCTTCAGACATTTCTAAAATCTGGAATCATTTATTGTTTTGTAAATGCTTGAACATTTAACTCAAAAAAATTTTCAAGCCTCTCTGCACACATAAAAGAATTGTCTCCTGCTCTGGTACATTTGACTCAACATGTATTCTCAATTTTGCTGCAGTTGTTATATAAACAACTTCCATTTTGTTTTGATCTCTCTATGGCTTTGCATAACACACTTACTTTAGCTTATGTTTTTATGGTTAGCTATTACAAAATGAACTAAGAAAAGTACATCACACTAAAATCTAAAGAAAGAAACCATTGTTTCTGTGAGGATGCGGCATTCACATTTCTGACCAATTGAAATATAGGTGTCTCAAGCTATTATTCACTCCTATTTTTATTACATTTTCAGTTTTGTCTTTCATTATGATAGCATTATACCATAGTGGCCATGGGAATATAATGGTGCAGTAGAGCCAAGCCAAAATGGAAAAAAAGCAGCTTGGTTATATCTGAATTATTTCAGTGGCTCAAGACTGGTTCAGTGTTAAAACACTTTTGAATGAAGTACTTCATCATGCCAAGGATTTTCATTTTTCAGGTAAAATATTTCTATTTTTTAATAATAAAAATTAAATTCCTCAGCCCGGATTTAATCTAACACATTTGTGGTGTTCTATCTGAGCTGAGGCCAGGCTAGTCACTGCAGGTACAGCCCTATTCTGCTTTGGGGACCCAATTTGGCATTGCTGTCTGCTTCAGCTCTGCACTATGTGGACTTTTGGACCCTCCAGAAGCTGTTTGGAATTAACTGCATTGCACTCAGTTGTTTGCTATAGCCAAGCTGTGGTGTTGTGTGCTAGATTTTGATACAAAAGTATTACATAGCTTTACTTCTAATGCAGATGGTGAATCTTAGAAATATACTGTCCTGCCTATTGCATTATGCTGTCAGCTCTTGGACGTCATTGTCTGGTAAGCATCAAGTTAAAATCTCTCTGAATTTTTAGTCTTTCAAATCCCTTTGGGAGGGTTTTTTATGTGCAGCATGTGCATGATTTGTTTTTTTCATTATTTTTTTCTTGTGTGTTCTTTGAGGTTGTCTGTGTCAAACCAGTAAAAACCTATCACTTCTTTTTATCCCTCTCGGTCCTCAGAAAAGGGCACAGCTCTCCATAGAGCTCCTATATAAAGGTGTCTAAAAGTGAGTTGATAAAAAAGAACAGGAGGCACAATCCCTGCTATCAGACATCAGACATAACTTTTTTTTTAAGGTGATAGTAGCAATGGTCAGTTTAAGCAGGAAGTTTTACTTTGTTCTTTCTGTTCAGTTTCCATTTTTTTGTTTATCTTTTTAACTATAATTTGTACATGTCCACATTAGAAAATCTATAGCATTTGATAATTAATGTCTAATACAGCCATCATCACAAAATCAGATGCATTGCATGGAAGAATTGATAGCAATATTATGGCAATCCAGTTTCTACTGGAAATATTATCACAATCCAGAAATATTATCACAAACCAGTTTCAACATATTTTTTCTTATGATACAATGAGTTCTTTTTAGGTTAATTTCTTCATGTGTATTATGGAAGAAATGCACTTAGACTTCTGTACTATATTCAGAAATAAAAAATAAAAAAAAAAAAAAAAGCAGCTTTATTACAAAGACATAAAAGGGGAAAAAGAATTGTACCAGGTATTAATCTCATTTCCAGTAACTAATTCTAAAAACCACTATGACTGATCTTTTACTTTTTTAATACAAAAGCAGTTTATTGCAACAAAAAAATCCATTTGTGAACAGTAAAAAAATGGAAAAACTAACTTCTGTTTCTGATTTCTGGTTTATTTTTTACATTAGGGCAAATTAATTAATCCATAACAATTATTCCTAGCTATTGAGCAGAAATTCAGAATTTTTCTTTCACAACTGTTTAAATAAATACACAGATGTACAGCTTTGTCTAGTTAGGAGTCTGAGATCAGTTTATGAGCTCACAGCTAATTTTAACTATGAAATGCTTAGGTATTTAATTAAAACTAGTCATCTACTACACACTCACCACATCTACTACAACTCACCACAGTCCATGAAGAGAGATAGGTGCTTTTCTAATCTCTTAGATGTCTCTCATATTGGGAAATGTTCTCTGCAGAAGCTGTGAGAAAAGGTTATGCATACACAGACATATACATGTATGTATTTAAACAGAGAAAGAGAGGGAGAGAGAGATATTTTTATACATACACTCATTCACATGCACTCACAGAGTAGACTACAAAGTGACATATACATCCTAACATTCTTTCCAACCTGACAGTGCCACCTTAAATGCCATGAATACTGGGAGACTTGCTGCTGTAGTGTATAAAGGGAAGTCTACTTTGATATTTCACATTGGTGTGATGCCTAGAATTGTGTGGACCAGACTCTCCCTCTGGGTGTCCTTGTTCTGCTATTTCTTTACCCTCAGCTGTCTTTCTTCCTCTTGTACATCTACCTGTCCCCTTCCTCCAGGTGACTTTTTCTTTTATCTTGAACTTTCTAAAGCACAAACAAGACAAACTGTGCTGTTACTCAGTTTGATATTGCTTGCTATATCATACACTCCTTTTCCACTGTTGAATCAAAAACACAATGTAAAACCTTTTGGGGGATGGAACTACAGGACTGAAGTTAGGAGAAGCTGAGCTGACAATGTATTACCCATTTGCAGGGCTAATGAACATGTCTAAAGGGGTTTCCTCCCCCATGAAAATCCATCTTTCATCCAACTCGAGCTGGGCAGGACAGCACCTATTCCCAGGATGCATAACTTACAGAGTGCTGTACAGCTCTACCAATGTAGATGGGAACTGTATCAGCCTGATGTTATCAGCTCCCATGGTTAATCAACCTCATCATACTATGAAATCTTCCAGAAATAAAAACACTACTGTATTTTAAAAAAAATAATGTAAGACTTGGCAAGGTTGCCAAAAACAGTGCGATGAGTATGAATGAGTGCTTGCATATGTGCTGCACTGACACAAGTGAAAATGTTATTTATTAGTCTGTAACAGCCTCAGAATGTCTTTGTGGTTAATACTGTAGTCTGTGGTAAGTAGATATACAAATATGCTTCAAGTGTCATTCACACGTTAAATTCAGTATTAGAAGCTTGACTAAAATAGTATACACTCTTAAAATAATTGTTAAACAGAGGTTTCTCAATTGAGAATGGAACACAACTGGAATACTGCATCCAGTTCTGGGCCCCCCAGTTCAAGGGGGACAGGGAACTATTGGAGAGAGTCCAGCATAGGGCAACTAAGATGATTAAGGGATTGGAGCATCTCCCTTACGAGGAAAGGCTCAAGGAGCTGGGACTCTTTAGCCTGGACAAGCGAAGACTGAGGGGAGACCTTATTTATGTTTATAAGCATCTAAAGGGTGAGTTGAAGGATGTTGGAGCCGGACTCTTTTCAGTGGTTTCCAGCGATAGGACAAGGGGCAACGGGCTCAAGCTGGAACATAGGAAGTTCCACTCAAATATGAGAAACAACTTCTTTACAGTGAGGGTGATGGAGCACTGGAACAGGCTGCCCAGGGAGGTCATGGACTCCCCTTCTCTGGAGATCTTCAAGACCCACCTGGATGCAGTCCTGAGTAATGTGCATTAGGCGTTCCTGCTTTAGCAGGGGAGTTGGACCAGATGAATTCTAGATGTCCCTTCCAACTCCAACCATTCCGTGATTCTGAGAATGGGTAGTATTTTGCATTGTCACACTGAAAACATACTGAACATACTTTTCCTTCCATGCAAATATACTATTAGGGTCAGAATTTTTTATGCCGGGAATTATATTCATAAGCTTTCATGTAGAGATTATAATAAATTTGTTAGTATAATGATATGATCTTAGTTCCACGTTGCCCTCTGCAATGTCTCTGCTCAAATTCCTCTCTCTTCTGTCTTATGATGCTTCTGAGATAACTATAAACTGTTGCATCTTTATCACAGTGAGTGTTTATGTCCTTGAAAACTTACCTTCTCATATAGCTTTAAGGGCAGACAAAGATTCCACCAGTTTATGTGAAATTAAAATGTTTTATGTCTAAGAAAGGTAATACTGTACTAGCTGATGAAATGCTATTTTTAGAACAAGTTTCCATGTAAGGCTGAAAATATTTGTGTCTCTGACCATAGCACTTGCTAGTATCCAAAAAAACCCCAACATCCCAATGACTTAGAAAAAAGAGGTTTCTCGAGTTTGCATCATTTCAGTAAAAGCACAGGCATACTTTTGCCTTGTTAAAAAAGATGCTCATATAACAATCAAAGCAAAAAGAAAATGCCCTTTGAATTCAGAATATGAACACTATCATTCAAAACACACTGAAACTAAACTTGTTAACCCCTGGGAAAAGTGGATGAATGGACAGAGACTACTTGGCATAGCTGTTGAATACGTGAGGCATGAAAACATGACATGGTATTAATTAGAGGGACAACACCAACTAGACAAAAACACAACAATGGTCTTGAATTGCTGATTTATTATCTTGTGTCTATTATTTTTAATTAGCATTACAGAATGTTCAGGATTTCTGGTTGTTTTGTTTCTCTTAATTATGTAAAAAAGAATGCAAGATATGCTTAAAAGCATTTGCTTTGCAGAATAGAAGACTGCTTGTGTTCTAGCTTTGACATTCATGCCCCGAGGAATACATTAGTGCTGGATTCAGGCACTATTTGTTGACACGGGTTGTAAACTACTATATTATTGTTGCAGACTATTTGATGTGTAACGCATTTTTCTTGGAGGTGGTGAGCCACATATCATGCAATATTCATATTTTCACATACAGGAAACCCATGTAAACTGGTTGAGGAATACCAAACACAGAAACACATAAGCCAGAACTTTTTTTAAGCTTATTTATATATATATATATATAAAATTCCTGTATATAGCAGAAAGTATCAGTGTCATTTGAATAATCATATGTAGCTAGTTATATGTATATAATAGTGATTATAATGTTAATAATTGTTAGCAGTACCAATAGCTTTCATAAAGCATGACCTTACCCCTGGTATTTCCTCATAAAGGAAATATAAAAGAAATTAAAAAAACCCAAACAAACAATGTAAAACTATTATAAAAACCACCCTTATAAAGCACCCTAAATGAATGGAGGAGATACATTAATAAAAGAAATGGGGTAGAATAAAAGCAGGAAGCATTTAGGCAAACAGAGGCTGTTATAAAAATATTTATTAGGAAAAGAGCAGAAAAGATGGGGTAAGTAAACGGAGATGAATGGCAGAGGGGAATGTGTCAATCACAAAAAGTATCCAATTGCCTTCTCAGCTGAAGTACTCCAATGAAGAAACAATTAGTAACTGCACAAAGATACTCATCAAGAGAAGGTTCAAAGTAGAGCATTCAGCAAGTATGAATCAGCAAAAAAATGTGTAAGATGCATCTTTGTTTTACAAGAGCAGGCAGAATTCTGACTAATTGTTTAGAAAAAAAAAAGTCATGCTGAATAATATTGAATGGTTGAAATAGTTGTATTTTGATAACTTTGCTTTCACTTACACACAGATAAAGCCATTAAATTCAGCTGGAATTTGTATGACAGGTCATGCCAGAAATGCCCAGTAACCTCATCATGATTTTCACCAGGAAGAGATGAAAGCCACACTATTCTCTTCTTGTAAAGTTAAAAGTTCTTGTTCAAACACTTTAGATGATTGGTATTCCCTTAATCTTAAATGCATTGCATAATCAAATATTTATTTTAATTTATTAAGTGAGGAACATTCTCTTTGCTATGTGCTGTTGCATTCAGAGATAGCAGAAGGCCTTCTAGAGAAAACTTACACAATTATCTGTCTTTCAAATACAACCTGACTTAGAACTTTTATTATAAACAATAGACTTCCATGTGATTTCACATGAGGATTTGATTGAAA